CCGCCGCCTGAGGGGCGGTCGCTGCTCCCGGCCGCCTCCCGTTGTGCTCAGCCTGCGGCCCTGTTCGCCGCCCACCCCCGAGGGGGCACTCCTCGCCACCCCTTTGGGAACAGCGGGTGTGGGGAGTCGGTTTAGTGGTTAGCACCAGAGGGGGCCGGGCCCTGCAGCTCCCCTGTGCCTGCCGTGTTTTTTTACCAAGTGTCTAGGTTTCGCTGGGACAGAATCATAGACTGAGTTTTCTATTCAGGAAAGATGCACCTGAGAAGACTGCAGTGCTCGACTTGGTGGGAACGAAGTTGGTAACACTTTGGTTTAGTCTGTGGCCAGTCCTGGTGTGCAGGTTGTCACAGTGATAAAGGTCTTCGGCAGTTTGAGTTAGCCAGGTGCAGAAGCTGGGAGGAGCAAAAGCCAGGGCAGCTGACCCACCCCAGCCAACAGAATTATTCCTTACCATAAACATCACACTATAGATCGGGGAGTTTGCTGGGGAAAAGCTGTCCTTCTTTGATGGTCAGTCTCCATGGAGGGTCTCGCCTGTTGTGCTCCTGACTGTTGCACTTCTGCTGGAGCTGTGGCACTCACGGTGTTTGTTATTTAGCATTCACTGCTGGAACGAACAGCTCATGATCATTGTGTGGGCTGAGTACAACTGTGTATTTTATATTAATATTGGTACTAATATTAGTTTCTTATTAAAGCTGTTTTTATTTAAACCCAATTCCTCTTCCCCATTCCCCTCCTCAGGTTGGGAAAGGTCATTAGGTGGTAGAACAACTGCCTAAACAAAGACACCAGGTTAAGTTATAAAGTATGTTTGCTTGTGTTTCAACTGGGCAGTTAGTAAAGGTGAAGTGGAATGTCTGATCAAGCTCTTCGATGTGCTGGTGACCGAGTCCAGCAGCCGCTTTGCTGCAATCGGCTTTGACCGTAACATTTTCAGAGACACTCTGCACACCGCGTTTGGCATGACAGATGACGTGATCTTGGACAGAGGTGAGACTGATAGGTCTAAGAAAGATGTAAGATTTTGGTTTTACATTGTTAACCCAATGAGCATACCTAGACAAAATAGTGCCTAGTGCCACTTCATTCCTGTAAGGACAGCAAAGGAAGAGTTTAGGAGCTTAGGAGTTGCTGAGTAAAAGGTAACCTTTTTCTTTAGACAGAATAGTTTTCCATTAGTTGAGAGTAGCTCACACTCCTGTATGAAGGAGACCAGCCAGAGGCAGCTGTAATGCTGTCCTGTGGCTTTCTGCCCCAGTCCCTACAGTATTGCAACAGAAGAGGGCTGCATGGTGGAGCTGCATGCACTACTGCTGGTGGACAGCTCTGTGTCGCGTTGGAGGTCCCAGAACGGCATTCTGTTAAAGTGGGTAACTTAAGGATAGAGGGTGCTGTGAAGAGCACTGAAGGGGCTACGCAGACAATACAGGGAGATGAGAGTAATGAGCCAGATAACCCCTTGAGAATACAGTGATTTCATGGATTCATATAATGTTGCTGTTAAAGTCACGTGGATGATCTCTGATGTGCAGGTGTCCAGAGGAAGATATGGAGGAGGCAAGAGTCTGCCGTTCTTTTCAGTCTCAGGCAGCCACCCCTTGGTTCAACTTTCTCCTGTTCCCTAGCAGGAGTAGTATTTAAACGCCATAAAATAAAAACCTGTTGCCATTTTATGCAACAAGTCAAGCGTGGCTTGGGAAATACCTTACATGGACACATTCTTAGAAATTATTTTCATGTTTATATACAAAGGGGCTCATTTCAGTTTGGAGAAGCAAACCTGTTGTTTTCCAGTTCCAAAATGCTTGGCTTTGCATGTAGAAGTGTTCCTGTAGCCAACTTAGTAATTAACATTCTAAAATATGAATTATTATAGATGTTAGTTGATGCTTTGAATTGTGTCTTGCATTTGAAGTACTGTATTACAGGGTGTATGAATAGCAAAGCTGCAAGATCAAAAGTTTCTTACTTCAGGGAAGGGAGAAGAAAAAAAAGATATTGATACCTGAAAGACAGGAGAGGGTTATTTTTCTTTGTATGTATTGTTCCTAAGATTACTTTCCCCAAGATTTTCTGAGACAAACCCTAGTAATTAAAATTCTCTTCTGTGTGCAAATATGCCTTAGTGTAAGGGATATTGGTTTATTAGGGTTACATCTGCACGGAAGCATACTTCCTGTAGTTGTTTAAGTCAGGAAAACAACAATTTAAGCAAAATGTCTTATCCCAGCAGGATTCTGGAGTGGCAGATCAGTAAACTGAGGGGTGAAATCCCCTTTGCTGTTATGGGTTAGAAGGATTCAAGAAGGGTAATCATACCTTGATGAAAGCAGAGAACCATCTTTATAAAAATATGTTTTTATATTTTCATTGAATTTAAGAAAATATTCTTTTGTTTGTGTTTCTGTATTGTATCAACTTTAAATGTATGTAATGCACTTCCCAGTGTTCCGCACTTTTGACAAAAACAAGGATAGCCGCATCAGTGTGGTGGAATGGGTGGAAGGCTTAGCAGTATTTCTGCGGGGGACACTGGAAGAAAGGCTTAAATGTAAGGTTTATCTGTATGGTATTCAGTAGTAATAATTTAATTCACAACTATTATATTAAATGTTGCTTTAATTATAATTTAGTAGTTACTCTTATAAGGCATTTGGTAATTAAAGAGTTTTCTTATATATAGATTAACTCAATGAAACTGAGTTCTGAAATTGCTTCTCTGAGACAAGAGGTTTTTCTGTGTAAGCTGCCATTATTGTAGCTGCCCCCTTATTTTGTTGCTGACAAAAACTAGCATTTGAACTGCAGCTTGTTCTACAGTATACAGTTTTGACAAAATATATGTATTTGTATTCACACACAAAATTAGAAAGTAACAGATGTAGCTCAAGAGTGATTTTGGCAAAATAACACAGTCTCAAGCCAACCGAGTCCTGTGCCAGCATTCAGTTACTGGCACAATGGGGACACAGCAGCAGTTGCATTAATTAGAGCAGTTCTTCAGCTTGGAAGCATGGATGGAAAAACTGAGTCTGTTTGTAAGATGATCATGACAACCACCAGAGTAATGATGGAGAAAGATAGGGGAGAAAAAATAGCAAGAACTCGAGAATTTTCAGCATTTGTAGGGAAAAGTGTAATAGAAAAAGGAGAATGTCAGCATGTTGTCTCCATAGTCCCAAGGTTGCAGCATCAGCCTTCCATAGTGCACTATATAAATTCATCTTGAAAGTGGCCTGGGATGACACAGCTCTAGGATATGTGCCCAGGATGCCAGTACAGCTACAAGCAGTGAGATACGCAGCTGCTGTAAGCACTATAGCGTGTACTGGAGCATAGTGACACACGGTGCTGGCTGTCGTAAGTGGCTGCCAGTACAGTTTTCACTGTAGCCTTATTCTTTGTTAGGAAAAAAAAATCCTTGTATCCCAAAACTGAGGATTTTTGTTTGTTTGTTTAAATAAGCTTTGTGAAGGAGAGTGAAGTTTATTATGGTAGTAGATTCTTGATTCTGGGGAGGTAGAAACAGTTAGATAAATTAGGCAGATACTTATACTTGAAATACTTTGTTACAGAGATTTCCTCTTTGCATTAAGGGATGCTCTCTTTTCCATGCTAGTACAGCTTATTCTTTTCCCTTTATTTTTATGACCCAGCTTCTGAAATAACTAGGATGTGTTTTGTAGGTGCAAAGCCCTTCTGATAGAGACAGCTGGTCTCCACCAGGGGAAATTTGGTTTCTAAACCAGAACCTCATTTATATTCTAAATTGATGCTTCTAGAGAAGTTAAGATCTGTAAGTTACTATGGTTTCTGTGAACTGAAGATAATTTGAGTGGAAATTGATTTTAACTATGAAAGGTAAATAGCTAATACTTGACTAGTATGTATATCAAAATGTGACACATTTCATATATAAATATTCTATCTGATAAATGTGGCTTAATAGTTATGCTGTACAACATGTAATTCCCATTTTCTATCTATAGGTGACAGCTTTAATGGTGTGTGCTATAGTTTGTATGAACTTTATATTAATTTATCTTTCAAAAAGACTGTTTTGAGGTTTACGACCTAAATGGTGATGGATACATTTCAAGAGAGGAAATGTTTCAACTGCTGAAGAACAGCCTTCTCCACCAACCATCAGAAGAAGATACAGATGAGGGAATTAAGGATCTGGTAGAGATAGCACTGAAGAAAATGGCAAGTACTTACTCATTGTGATACCTGGGTGTCTTTCAAATATTCATTGACTGAACCTCAGAACATTCCTGTGAGGTAACTAAATACTGTGACTCCTTTACAGTGGGATTCTGAGCCACAGAGTTAGATTCATACTTGAGATAAACAAGTCTCCTAAGGAAAGCCAGAAATACAACTCAGATCTAATGAGTCCCCATCCAGTATCCTCATATGAAACTGTTAATTTATTATGTGAATGCATTATAAACTTTATGTATAACCTAGCATGTGTATACGTGCATACACACATGTATGCCCAGTCAAAACAAAAGCTCCGTCAAAAGAGGAAAATTCAAAATCTGCATTTATTTGTGTTGGGCATCTGCAGTAGCTTTATTATTAAGTACAGTTGTGTTTTATCAATTGATCACAAAATGTCTCTAATTTATATATTCTATTATTATTTAAATATTCTATTAGAATATTAGATTGAAGGCCATTAATGTAAAACTTGTCTTACCATGATTTATCTAGCATATGCAGATCAGCCAGGGACTGTGTTTCAGCATTTTCATTGAATCAAGAAATGCAATCTCCACTCCTATGGTGGTGTTCAAAAATCTCAATTAAGACCAGGTCTTGAATGTTAACTTCTTTTATTTAACCCCATGTTTTCTATTTCTCAGACCCACCCCATTTGCTGAAAATGAAAAATCTCAGCTGAAAAGTCCATCTTACCTTTACTTCTTGACAGCCCTGCGTCTAGTTTCACACCAAACACAAGCTATGACTCAGCAATTTATTAATCTTTGGAGTACCTCCATGTTCAGCTTTCCTGCAGGTTGCATCCAAAATGAATACTCTCATGTCTGGGCAGTTGATAAGTGGGCTATGCTAGTCCAAGCACAAGCAGTGTCCTCTAGAGATAATGAAGTCTTCATATATGTATAAACATACATAAACTAATCATGTACATAATCCTGGTACATAAGAAAGCTCCAATACTTGTTTGAAGAATGTCCAGACCTGATTTGGCTGCTGGGCAGTTGTCAGAGTAGGATATTGCTGATTGCAAGTCCGTGTCAAGTGACTAAACAACTAAATATTGGATATCCAAAAATACATTTGTGCGGTCCATCACTCAAGGATGAAAAAACTACTGTTTGAGCAATTGCCAGTAGGTACAACTGTATTGTGACCAAGCATACATCCAGTCCCATGATAACCACTTTCATACTTAAAAGTATTTGTAATAACATGCTTATGCCCTGCTCTCCTCTGGGCTGAGGAGTGTAAAAGGCAGAGTGTACCCAGCTGCTTCTGTTTCTCTTTGACACCCAGTGGCAGAGAGATTCCTAAACAAGAACAAGAAAGCCTGTCTGCACAGCTCCTTGCCTCTGCTTTTCTGGCCATTAGGACCTAGGCTCCCTGCACGTACATCAGCTGTGATGGTTCCATGCCTTGATCTTCAAAAATTTTGGTTTAGCCCTGTGCCTTCAGTACTAGTCATATCCACCCATGTATCTTCACTTAAAACCTTTATTTAAGGTGTCTTAAGCTGCCATGTCTGTAGAAACAAGGTTTTCAAATTGCAGAAATACTGAAAACACAAGGATGCTTTTTCCACCCCTAGAGGAATATTCTGCTATGCTGCGATTCTGCAGTACAAAAGAAGTGGCTGACATCAGCATACACCAGTGTGTGCTTCTGGGTGCTGTACGTGAAAAAGGCAAGGCAGAAGTATGTCTACTAGAGAAACCACTAGGGCCAAGTATTTCTAGTCTCATTAATAGGGTGCAGGTACACTCATGCTGTAAATACATATAGAGAACATATCCTAACATTTTCTCCTACTTTTCTCAGTGCAGCTGTGCTTGAGATTCATCCATGCAGTTCTCAACTCAGCCTCTTCGCCTATTAAAGTTTTGCCTTCTCTGGAATTCTGTTAGCAAAGCTGTATGAGAGAGCTGAGCTTGCTCCACCTTTTATGCCTTAGATAGGGGCAGATAATATGGAGACTAATGGCCCAAAGCAAATGATTTTTGTATACACTCAAACTAAAAATAGAATCTATATAAATAAAATGTCTGCTAAACAAAAAAGACAGTTACTACAAGCGATCCTCCTTTGCTGAAGCGTCCCCTTCCTTTTGTAGGACTATGATCATGATGGCAAGCTTTCTTTTACGGACTTTGAAAAAGCAGTCAGAGATGAAAATCTTCTTCTAGAAGCCTTTGGACCGTGTTTGCCAGACATAAAGGTACATCAACCTTGATTTAAAAAAAATCTGTTCAAATACTTTGTGCTATTGGTAAGGAGATGTACGTATTATGGCATTAACTGTCATTACATGGGGCCTGCTGAAGTCAGCGGAGAAATGTTTCAGTTGTGAGATCTGTGTGTGCTGAGTTTGTACCTACCTTTCACAGCACCCATGTTTCCTTATGCACTGGCACCAGAGAATTTAAGGACATAATTACTCAGTGCTTGACTTTCCCAACGCAGCAATATAGTGAATGATCCTCCATGAGCACCCTCTCAAACTAAGACCATTCTCTTGAATTGTTTATCTGAAAGCTCTCTGGGAATACAACTTTTATTTTCCTTTCTTTGGTGCCATTGGCAACACTGTTGTCACCTCACAGCCTCTTTTGGAAGAGGCTGGTAATTCTCTGAAAAAAGTATCTTGAGAGTGTTCTTCATCTCAGTGTGGCACTGCTGTTTTTTAATTACATCTAACTGGGCTTTATTTATTAGCAATACCTCTAATTCAATTCAGGTTTTTTTTAAATGGTAATTTAGAACATGCTCATTTTCTCAGTGTTGAAGTTCAGCTGTGGAAAGCATTTCTGCTCTGTAATAAAGATTTATTTTTTTTCTGAACCCAGTAATCATTACTCTATTTGAACTGCATGTCATTTTAAAGTCCTTTACTTAATTGTAAATAAGCTTTTTTGTTATTTTTGTCTTAAAACAGAGCATTATGGCATTTGAACAGAAAGCGTTCCAGGAAATTCAGAAACTGTAACTCCAAGTGGAATACTGTTGCAAGAGGGGTTTTTTCCCCACCATTTTTCATGGTATAGTAAAAATAGTAACAGTTTCAAGGTGCTCCTACTTTTTGGTATTCCTTTACTGTAAAAGCTACTGAATAAACACAATTTACTTCTGTTACTTTACCCAAATACAATTCTTCAGTGAGTTATGAAGTATGTTGTACTATGAGGTACACAGGACCAGATTATGACAAATAATATTGTACTAGTTTGTTCATTCCAAGAAACAAATTGATACAATTTTTAACAGGAAACTACATGGAAATACAGTATAAATTTTATTTTTACATTTCAAGGAAGTTTTTTAAGCTATGTGCTTTAAGAAAGAACTGTTGGAAGATGCTGCCAGCAGTATCTATATTCTTCTTCTCTGCTTTAAAAGTGGCTTGGCTGAGCTACTCTCTGGCTTTTCCACAGATGTTCTTGAAACAGAATCAGCTACCTAAATTGTGAGAGGAAAAAAAAAAAATCTTAGTAAACTGTAACCACTACTGTTTTGTAAGTAAGGCCACGTCTTCAACATCTGAGTATTGGGAGTGAAGTATTACTATAATCCCACTTGTATTGAGTTTTCCTGCAGAAAAAGAGGAAAGAAGTAACACGAAAGGCAGCATTAAACACAAACGAGAGGAATCTTGGAAAATAGAAGTGTTAGCAGTAGCACCTTTGTATTTTAACTCCACAAACTGATTTCCCATACTCAGTGAGAGATTGTTACATATTTTATCACCCTTCTCCCTATCAGAGGTGTTTTCAAAGTAAGGTTTAGTATAGTAAATTCAGGTAGTTCAGGAAGAAAAGGGAAAGGGAAAAATGTGTGTTTTGACACACGATACTTTAGAAGTATATTTAATATAAGGAGTGCCTATGTATTGATTTGACAAGATAAGCTCTTTCAAATCAGACTAGTTATAGTCAAGAGAGCTTTTTCATACCTTAATTTAAATTGAGAGTGTTATCAAGAGTGTTTGACCTGCTAGTTGATCGATATCCTCCATAAAAGGTTATATACCTAAATACATGCCTCTCAGCATAGAATTTGTGGTTCTATAATTTTTTAATGCCATAAGTAGTGTTGGGAGTAGAATTGCATTCAACTCTGATTATTTTTCTCTCCCTTTTAATCAGAAATGAGATACAGTTACCACACTGGAGTCAGCAGGACTAACCTGCAAATTTATCACACCTCCTCACATGGAAAAAAAAAAGTGCGGTTCACTAAAAATCAGTTAGGACCATGCACTGATATTAATACTTTCTGAAGTGTAGTATAAAAGGTATGGAGTAGCATGGCCCGTAATATTCTGAATTATGAAATAATTAAGTAGTAAGAATGCTAGCCTTAAGTGGCAAATAAACTGATAATACATGTTGAATTAAGTTCTCTTAGGGCCTGTTTTTATGGCAAACAAGTACATAATGTGTACATTCTAAAACATCAGAACTTTCAGAATCCATACCTCTTTCAGTTTATTTCGAATTAATGAGGCTGAAGTATTCAATGAATCATCGTCCATATCCACTTTAGGTACTTCTGGCAGCTGTGGGCCAATAATGACTTCAGTATTGTCCACACTTGTTCCCTTGAGGGAAAACTTGTTGCCTTCTTCTCTCCTCCTCTTGCGTTCTTGCAGGTGAGTTGTACGAGGCAGAAACCTGTCAACTCCATTAGCAATCAGAACTGTTCTTTGCTGCATTAAAGGAGCTGGTGGAATACGTCGTCCTGGCTGTACATTTAGAGTCAGAGATGCGCTCTGACTAAAGTACCCAGAAGTTTCAGCACAGTTGTTGTCATACTGGGGAAATGTCAGCAGGCTCTGACGATGGTTCCCAGGTGGAAATCCTGTGTTTTGGGATACCCTGTGCAAACTTGTAAAGCAGGATGGATCCCAGTTACCAGTTGTACATGACCCTGGAGTACTCCACAGGCAGCCAGAGTTCTTTGAGATGGTTTTCTCACGCTCCTCTACTTTCTTTGACACCAAGCAATCTTGAAAACAACAAAAAAGTAGCTTCGCTATTTCATGTCATTATCAGTTCTAACACATAAGGAAAACCATTTAATACAATTACAGAAAAAATACAAATGTTTTTTCATGCCCAGCCACCTTTCCATGATTCTTTTTTCCAAAGTGGCACCTTTCAAACAAAAGTTTTTGAGCCTAGTCCTTCTGCTGGCTTGCAAGGAGTGCCAGAGCAGAAGTATTTCAGTAGTTTTGAGAACACAAGGAAAATATTTCTACTGTTGCAAATCAGTGATTTTTACCTCCAGTTACAATTTCAAAAAGGACAGAGTGTCTTGAAACATTGAAAAAACAGGTGGTTTAATGTTAAAAATCAGTGATTTTTACTCCCTTTAAATATCCTCATGCAATAAATACTGAAAAATTATGAAGTGCAAGAAAGGACAAGCCTGTGCTCAGCAATTCACTTATTTCTCAGCTTGCCCAGCCTTCAGTGCTGCCTGGCAGATCCACAGTCCATTAGCCTTACCATTCCTGCAGTGCTGATATCAGGCTGGAGGAATTTTTTGTTGACATTTCTGGTACAGTCACCTTCCTTACAAAACTGTCCCTCTGGGCATGCCTGAGTAAGCTGGAACAAGGGTCAAAAGACAATCCCAAAATTCCACCAGTGCTTGAAATTTCTTATAACATTTTGAAAAGAAAACAAAAAGAAGGAAATAGCTCATTATTAAACCTGGAGCAAAACTGAAGCTCTTAACCAAAAGTGAAATATTGCTTTGAAAAACATACAGCCCTCTAAATATTGAAAGATGTCTCCATTCTGCTGCAAAGGTACTTAAAATGCGTCTTTGAAACAGCCAGATACCAAGCATTTTCTTTAATGGGCACTAACCAAAACCCCACCTACCACTGAAGTGAAAAGATGCTATAGGAAATTTAATTACAAACCTCTTTGATTTGTTGCTTTTGCGATATACTTTCTTCTGTCCTGCAACTTCTCCCGAGTTTCTTGGACCGTTTCAAATTCTGGAGCATAGCACACATGCAGCAAACTACCAAAGAAACTTCGTTCGTCCATTTTTTTCTTGGCCACTCTGAAGGAAATGAAATTGTATTGGCAAGACTGAGGATTTCACTTCAACTCTCTAGAATCTTAACAGGTTATAAATAAAGAAGGTGTAAAAGATTAAGAAGCAAGAGGCAGATACTGCCCTGTCCAATACCTTGCACACTGCAGCTTTTGGAATTTTATAAGATAAACTTCAGTAAATTGCTCTGCTGGATATTCATCTAGAGCGTGATACTCTTCAATGGCACCATATAATGCAAATTGTTCCACTAATTCCTTCATAACACCTAATGCAGGAACTCCTTGTATTAGTAAATAACGAGATTCCAAGTTGATAGTATAAACCTGGAAAATAAAAATAGAGCATTCTAAAATATTCACATTCTTGCTTTACTGCAAAAGTAAGGAAGTTGTCTCTATTGTTCCTCAAATCCTTTCAGGATGCTGAAAATCCCTCTGTACTCTATTTGACTTGGGACTCTTGCTGGAGCAGTAAGCGCAGAGTTGTCTGGGACCTCTTCATCACTGAGCAGGAACTGAACTCCAGCTCCTTCTCAAAGTAGAACACAAATTAGAGTTCACCTTTCTCCACCAGGTCAGTGCTGCCACTTGATGACTCAAATCTGTACATCTCTGGCCAATTTCCTTGCAAAACTGACCAGTAACCAGTTGATATGAGGCACTGTCAAAACAGAAAAAAAACCCACTGTAAAACCTGTCCTGTTCACAGGCAGAGCCCACACAGGTAAAATGCAGGGAAGAAGAAAAAAGAGAAAGAGGAAAAAAAAGAGTACAGTGACTTCTTTGGGCAGATCATCCGTGTGCAAAGCTGCCTCCTCACTACAGTGATCAAAGAGCATATGTTTCTAAGACAGATAAAAGTGAGATGCTGAGAGAATCAAGGTCTTCCCCAGCAGGTGAAAAAACCAAACTACTCTTTTCTGCTTTGTGTAATGAGATAACACAGGCTCGGAGGAAAGCTACAACATACAACAGGTAGCTAAACCGTAACATCATACAGAATCTATTTTTATTTTGTTAAAAACCACTTAGGTTGCATGAGCTACCCATCCTTCTCCAAAAACAGCAAATGCAGAACAAACAGGGAACTGCACAGGAAACCAGCTGTCAAACTGCCATCATAACCAACACGTTCTGCAAATAGATCACATAAATTGTTCTTGTGATGGCAGTTTACTCCTAACCCGATTTCTTTCTCAAGTCAGCCCTAGAAGGTGCCATTACAGCGCACCATGCATTAACTGCACACACAAAAAGTAAATCCAACCTTTTTGCTGCTGTAGTGAGAAGTTCCTGCTCTGCAGCTGGCAAGGCCCACAAAGGATGGCCTTCCTCTCGTGCCCCCAGGCGCTCCTGGGCACCAGAGCATGAGGACAAAAACAGCGTGGTGCACGTCAGACCTGCCGAGTCCAGTGGCACTGCAGACCCAACTGCGTGGTGGCCATAACAGCAACACTCGGCTCCTTCACTTTCCTCACACTGTTCTTAGTGTCTGGTTTTGTATTTTGCACAGAACTAGACTACTTGTGCTATGTGTGGCTTTAAGTCATTTCCTACAGAATACAACGTGGGAGTCACTAGATTTACCAGACTCAACTCCAACTATTCCTTCTGCTATTTATTTAATTTGGGGGTTTTTTTTGGCATAAACAGGTTGACGTTTTAAGGTTGCAAACCCTTCACGCAACACAGCTGCATACCCAGGCGCAACAGAGCTCTGCCCCGATGGCAACGCTCAAAGGGGACAATGCAACCGTCGGGAGAGTTTAGCTAATAAGGGACATGAAATGTCTCAATAATAAGAAATAAATTTCTCCAAGGAACAAAACCAAGTTCCTGCTTTGATTTTGCAACCCAAACGAGACGATTCCTCTCCACTGACAGGATGACTTGTGTAATAATTAGGATGTGACCGTGTCGCACGGTAAGGCTGCCTGAGCCCGCGCCCCGAGGCGCCTCAGCAGCAAGGGTAGAGGAAGTACCGAAAAACACCCAGAACGGGGACAAGCACTAACGAAGGGGACCTCGAGAAGAGGGGGCCCCCGAAAAGCCGCAGCCTCCAGAGGTTCCAGCCCGCTCAGCGCCGGCAGCCGCGGCGGCCCCGACACGGGGGTGGGCCCAGGGAAGACCCCGCCCGACCTCACCTTCACGGCGCGCGGCCTCCGGCCCTCCCGGTACTTGGCGCGCGACTCGCAGACCCCCAGCTGCGCGTGGTGCTTACAGGCATCGCCCAGCCCGCTGCCGGCTCCGCTGCTACCGGCCGCCATCTTCCCATCACCCACTCCGCTCCGTGTAGGCAGCTATAGCTGTCACGCGGGAGGCCAGGCAAGCA